TGATTCTAAAATTGCTGCACCCCCGTTGTAATTATAATGCACTGCAATGATATTCCGCAATCGTTTTAGGACCGATGGGGTAAATCAAAGGATGCGCTTGTTTTAGCAGCAGTTATAACCGATGTTAAGTTATACATTTGCACCGGTTATAACTGCCACAACAAATGAAAAATAAACTGATTTTCAGTATTATGGAGGTTTTAACCGACATAATTTTGGACGTTTGTGACGGTTTAAACTGCCACAATTGTCCATAATTTAAAATATAAAATAAAACTTGAATGTCCACTGCAATCTCATGATGACAATTCTGGGAAATTCATGTTAGAAACTCCACACCAGAATATCCAACATCCTTTATGCAATACCACCAACAAACCACCTACTCATCCATCTACAATACAAGAACACTTTCTAAGGTCCAACGATAGATGATTAAGATATCATTTGTGTTAAGTTATGTCATCATCAAAGTGCTTTAGGGTGTCTTTAACTAGCTATAAGAGAATCATTACCACACGAAAGATATAAAAATTTAAGGGGTGGAGAAAATGGATGTCTTTAATCTAATTTGCTATCCTCCATATAAAATCACAAAACTGAAAATCTTAAGAATGTCAAGGAGCATAAATAACGTATAATTTTAATAATAATCAGAAAAATGAAATGACAAAGTGGCTATATGAATGCTTTCCATTAAATGAAAATTTGAGTGGCTATATGAAATGAATACAATCTAGATCAAATACTAACAAGTGCTTGTGGTAAGAGGCTGACTGAATACAAGTAATGAAGCTTTTCAAACAAAAAATCATTATAATAACAATATAAACATAGATGGCTCTATGATAGCGTTTTGATGCATGCACAAATTTCAATTTTTTTAGTGGTTGAGGCTTTTTTTTACTCGTGTTTCATGTAACTGAATGTAGCCTAATGATATAATCAGCTTTCCACTTATCAGGAATCAGACCCATTTGGATAAAGATGCATTTGAGATGACCCTAAAGTCATGCTTGGCAATGGTGTTGTGACTGCATGGTAAGGCTGCAAGGTTTAGCAGTCCGTATAATAGATTTTTAATTGATACAAGGGACATAAGATATAACAAAAGATGAAATACAAGCATTCAAACCACTTGATTGTTAATGATTTGGGTTGAGTTCAACGAAACTTGAAGGACACCAATGATCACACTCTAAGAACATTTAACACACTCTCAAGTCACATAATATCCAGTAATTTCATTGAATAAGGAAACAATTACATATTTATAAAGCAACAAATGCACATTTTAACGTCTAGATTTTGATGACTTTTTACAAACTCAAAATGTTTAACATAAAAGTAAAACTTAAAATTACTAAATAAATGAAGACAAAGTAAAGTCACTCAAACATCTTAAAAACCATTACAATAAGAGTTCACTTGTACTCTCCTAGGCCATATAAATTCAGCTTAAGGAGATATAACTAGAAGCATCACAACTAGAATCATCACAATAAATACTAGAGCTTATCAGTCAAACAATTTTAAGTTTTTAGAAGACTGTCAAGTATTAGATGAATTGTCATTGTCACCCTGAACACAATATGGAGATAATAAGATACTAACAATCAATTAATTTAAAATTTACATTAAATTACTTAATTTTTTTTTTCATACCATTTTTTGTCCTCCTTGGGGTGGTTGATTCATCTGAAATTGTTGCATAAATCGTCTCATCAAATCACGAAATGAGCTAAACTTTTCTTGAAGACTTGTTATTTGAGCAAAATTTCTACCACTACCACAACTTGTTTCATTTTTTTTCCCTTGAGAAAAGTATCGGGTCGGCGTGACACCAAATCGTTGGTTACGAATTTGGCCTGAATGTTCTGGTCCCATAACTATACTAAATACTCGCTCATTAGCTTAAATGTTTCACTCTTTGGGTGTAAGCCCCTCAGCAAGAAAATTACATGCTTGCATCTACATTACAGTTGTAAATAGTTAATTTTCTTAAAGAACTGATTATAAAAAATAATTTGTAATCCCTATATATATGTACCCATCACTGCATAACATCCTCAGATGACCAGGTCCAATCTTTGTGCATCCTATTGATTTTCCATAATTGCAATTTGTCCTTAATATACAAAAAAAATTATAATAAAAATATAAGTTTAAAAATGAAGCATTTTGTAGATATAATTAAATATTTAAATAAATATCGTTTCCTTCTGTCTCCAAGCTGAGCTCACACGACCCATTGTGTGAGCTTTGAAAACAGAATAAGTTTTATTCTATCTCTTGTTGTTACATATGTATTACTATTTTACAATTAATTATACTCTTGAACACCGTTTAATAATATACAAAGTGATACTTATTCACCTATTGTAGAGGGGAAAGAAATATATTAGGAAGATTTGATGAGATAAGAAAATAGAAGGCATAATAGAGTTTATAGAAGGTATATCTAATTAAAAATACATATATATATATATATTTGAAGCATATTAGGGTTTTATACATTACAAAAAATAGCCTTGATTGAATTCAAATCTTGAGGCATATTTTAGTTGGCAACATTCAAAATTAATTGCAGGAACATCTGGACTCTGATTTCAGCAAACTTAAAATCAAATTGAACGTCTCAGCTATAAAAAAAAATCAGTTCAATCCGATCGCAAATGGGCACAAATCAAGGGCTTAAAACGCATTTGAAAACTCTAAAGTATTAATTGAATGACTAAATAATATACAAATCTAGCGTGCTTATAGTCAAATAGAGCGGCTCGAAGAGAAGAATCCAACGAGCCCTAGCTCGCTTTATTGTGACATCAATAAGGCACTTAAATAATGAACAAACCCTCAATAATCGAGGGAATCAATATAGAACGTCTGATGGAGAACTCTGAATTTTTCCTAGATCTTCTCTATATTTATGGAGAATGTCACTATCAAAATCTATAAATAGATCCCACCCCTATTCCCATATTTAGGGGGCTTGGACTTTTGGAGGCTAGACCTTGGGCTAAAGACTCAATAGAGCTCTAATTAAGGCTTGAAGCATCCTGGAGCTCTACCCTGACACCACCGTCAGCAAACCCTCGCCATCAGGCCATTGTTGTCGGACCTTTGCTAGACCATCGTTGTTAGACCTCCGTCTAGTAACCATCGTTGGGTCTCCAACTTCCTTCGCCCATCAACTATGGTCCCTATAACCTCAGTCGCTCACCCACTATAATCCCTCTGACCACTATCGTCTATCAACTATATATATCTTAGGAATATTTGATGAGATAAGAAAATAGAAGACATAATAGACTTTATCGAAGATATATCTAAATTAAAAAAAAAAAAAGGATGTATTTGAAGCCTGTAAGGCTTGAGGCATACTACAGTGATACATTTGAATCCAACGCATCTTAATGCATTTTTTATGTGGAAAGATATTGATATACTTTTTTGGTTTCATTCTAGCGTAAATGTGATCGATATAATTATTTTTATTTTATGTTTGGCTATTTTGTACTGCACTAATGAACTTTTAATGTATTATTTTCTATTATTACCATGTATAACATTTCACTTTATTAATTTCAAATCATCTCTTCAATAATAATTATGTTCTTTTTGAAAAAAGATTATCAGATATCTTATTGGAATTGTCTTCCTAGCTGCTTATTCTTGTTCATAGAGGAAGCTTTTTAGATGGTTTAAACGATGTGATTTTTTTAGGAAGTTGGTAGTCTTCTCACTTTATTTAGGATTTGTTTGGAATGACTATAATTTTTTATAATGATGATTTTGATATTACTGTGAAGCAAAGAGAGGCTTATGTGATTGAAAGCCAGACTCATTGTACAAGCTGAAATCCATCTTTATGGAGCAGCAACTTAAAGTTTTTTTTTTTAATTCTAATCTGTTGAAAAACCATATCATACTGTTGATTTGTTACTTAACGACGATTACACCATGGCTGGGTGTGATAGGAAACAACTTCAATAAGGAAAAATGGATTCTGTGGAATACTATGGTAAGAATACTATGGTGGTATGTTTTGTGGGAATATCCTGTTGTAAATTATGATATTCTCTACTCTTTTATGGCCATTTTAATCTTCAACTATCTCCTGAGACAATCTGAAGAGGTTGTTTGGTTGGAAGATTTAGGTTTTGTTTGGGACAACTTTCTTGTTGCTTCTTAAAGCAGCTTTTTAGTATAAAAATTTTAATTTTTATACTAAGAAACTGCTTTAAGAAGCAACAAAAAAGCCGTCACAAATGAAGCCTTAGTCTAAATATTGCTAAACAATTTTTCTGAGCCAGATAATTTTCTTACTTCTTAAATTTCAATTTTATGATTTTAAGAGATTTACACCATTTCTCATCATCATTGTATTTTCCCTTTGTTCCATGTAATCCTACATCTTGAAAATATTTGTCAAACAATTTGTCTTGTAATCCTTTCTTTCATTTTCATTGGATTTCATTGTAGCTGTTAAGCATTTATTTAGAATTACTTATAGGCATAAAGAACATAAAAATAATAATTTTATCTTTTTATTAGAAAAAAAATTAAAATTTTCGTAATAAGAATTTTAGTTTCTAAAAATTCATTCATGAAATAAAACTAGTATATATATTTATAATCAAAATTTCTCTCATTTAGGGTGTGTTTCAGATAGTTTTCACGTTGTTTTGCTTTGCAGATAGCGATCACAATCTTCTTTGTCTACTTCTTTATCATTATTTTTTTAAAAATTTTTGTGGTGGAAAATTACTTTTACAACCATAGTGACTAAATTATTTTCCCCCAACAACTTTATAATCAATTTTATGAGACGCTACAAACAGATCTTTAGTACCTCCCAACTTGTTTTACATCAAAATTTTAATTTTCTAAGCATAATATCAAAATAATATATCATATAATAAAAAATAAATATGTTTAAGCGAAAACACAAAATCTTCAAAAAAAAAAAAGTTCAAATTTTTTTTAATGTGGCACATAATTTAATTTATTTTAAAAGTTGCCAAAATTGAATTATTATAATAGAAAACATCAAATAGCGGGTTTATGGTAATACATATCTATTATAAATAGTAATAGATTAAAATGTTAGGGTGGACTCTTCTCCCCACGTCCTCTTTAGATTGGCCATTATATTGAAATATTTAATAATTTTAAATATCTTTTTATTAATCCAAATATTTTAACTTATCATTATTAATTAGATCAGAATATCTTTATAAAACTCTTTCCATTATTTAAAATAGAGAGTTTTTTCATTGAGGAAATTCCTAAGAAACCAATCAAGATTGCTTCTGCGTTCCGTTTGGGTTGATGGTTACAGCTCGACCCATCCCGACCGGCCCGGCTCTTTAATGGGTCAATTCTACATGGTAATACGAATTCCCACGTGTCAGTCATCAGAACTTTTCTCTTCACCTCTTTATATACAAACTTCTACTCTGTAGCCTATCATTACTCATCACGAACTCTGTCAAGAATTACCATCTCACCCCTTCCTTCCATGGGGAATTACATCTCCTGTACCCTATCGGTTGCGATAATTGAAGCCCAATCACAAGTGCCGAAGGTAATTCTCCCCAATGACGCCATCCTCCAACTCAGCGCCAGATTAGTAACGGCGGCAGAGCTCATGCTTGACCACCCGGGATATTTTCTGGTTCATTCCGGGGCCATGCTCGTCAGCCGGCGGCTCTTTGCTCTATCGGCTGATGAAGAGCTCGAGCTCGGAGCCGTCTATGTCATGTTTCCCATGGATCGCCTCGGCTCGGTTGCCAGAGAGGAAGACATGGGTCGGTTGCTCCTGGCTACAGGGAAGGAGGGCAGAAAGGGAGTTTCGGAGTCCACTGCTCAGATGGCGTCGCCGCTGGAGCCGAGGACTGAGATGGACGATGCTTTGATTGCGGATTTCATTTATTTGAAGAGCTTGTCCAGGTCGAAGAGACCTGCAATGGACACGATAATGGAGGAGGCCTTCCATTAGCAAATATATGCTTGAAATTTGAAAAAAAAATCATTGTCGATATCCGGTATATTATCAGTCTGTATAACGAATTTCATATCAAATTAGAAGGGAATGTTTTAGCGGCTACAACTTTTTTTATAAAGTTGACTGTGAAGTGTTTTTTTTGGAAAATCAACTTAAGCTATGTTGAGATAATTTTCTTATCACTTTTTCAAATAGACTCTAATACGTAGCAAAATTAACGATAAAAAAAGAGGAAAAATGCTTAGTTTTTTTAACGATAGTCATATTTTTTAAATCTCCTAGAGATGGAATAAAAAAATGAGCTTATATGTGAAAGGTTGGAGAAGCTCTAGTGGCATATAAGATTAGAGAGTCATTTTAGATGGTTTGATCACATAAAATATCAGTCTTTCAATGAACCGGTTAGGAGAATAGATGTATTAGATTTGACTTATGTTAAAAAAGGTAAATATTGAACTAAAAAAATTGGATTGAAAATATTTGAAATATCTTTCTTTATTAAATTTAAATAAGAAATTGATTCTTAATATAATATAATGGAGAAAGGGATTAATGTAGCCCATCCCACATAGTGGATACAATACAGGAAATTCAACTATTACCGACGGCTATGATCGGCGGTCCTGTAGCCTCCAGTAATGCCGGCGGTTTCGGTGGCGGTTTGACCGCCGGCATTAACTGGCGGTTTAACCGACGGTCTTTAATAAACCGCAGCCGGAATTAGCGGCGGTTTAAAAATTGCAGGGTGTGGCACCGATTTAATTAATACCGGCGGCTGAGACCGCCGGTAAAAGCCCTAAATCTATCCAGCCCGAGCATTCCTCCTCACTTCTCTCTCGCTTTTGCAGAAGGCTCGCCCCCTTCTCGCGATCGCGCCTCCGAATACATCGTAGGAATATTAATTCGGCGCCGAAAAACTCCCTCCGTCCGAAGATCTCACCCCCAAGCCGAACACCTCTTCTCTCCGGTCTCCCTGTGTCGCTGGACTTAATATTCTTCTCCAGCCGCCGGACTCGTCCACCTCCTCTACCCTAGTCGCCAGCTCTCCTCTTTGCTATAGGTAAATTCTCTATAAAAGTGCTCGATAATTTCTTATTATTAATGCTTTAATTCTCATCCAAACACACTTAGAAAGATTGATGTATTCTTCTTCTTGTTGGTAAGGCTAGAGAGGGACTTGAAGTTAAACATGAATTATGGAGGTCAACCTTAGGGGCTGTTTGGTAGAATCTAGGATTTCATTTAAGTAGGATTTCGTAAATTCTCCAAATTCGGATTTAAAAAATCCAGAGGGCATTAAATTTTGAGAACTGTTTGGTAACCTTCATGAGATAGCGGGTATTATACTATGAAAATACATATATGATTTATTATATCATATTATTTCGCTATCACTTTTATTAATAACTAATTAACTATTATTCTATACATAATAATCTCCATTGTGTATCATTCCTAAAGGTTCACTATAAAATTTTGATTTCTCAAGTGGTTGTAGTAGTGGCTATTAAAACAAGTAGTGTTTAGTGCTCGCATGGGTAACAAAAGGTACCAACCCCTATTTGTACACAAGTTTTTTGATGTTGCACTTCATGGATGGGGAAAAATTAAATCTTGATTCCCTCCCCCATACTAGATTTAACTTACAGAAGAATCCATGTAAAATCCCATGAAATTAAATGTCAATAGATATATCTTTAACATTTTACTTCCAAATTGACTAGTCTTGATTTTATTCACTCGTTAAACTTTCACCATAGGGTAAATTAATGCACTCTAGCTAATTGATGGAATCAATACATATTCATGTAATCATTACATAATTTAGAATTCAAATGAATAGCCAAAAATACACAACATACTTCATATATAACCATATTAAAATATTCTCCTTAATCTATAATACGTGATGGGCCTATGATGCACTGCATCATATGTTATGTTTTTTTATATATTTTTAAGCTTGTTTAAAGTTATCTTTAAGCCTAGAGATTTAACATAATACTCAAAGCTATTGTTCAAATTAACTCAACATTTAAAACTTTTAAACCTACAACTTTCTTCTTGTTGGTAAGGCTAGAGAGGTCCTTGAAGCTAAACATGAATTATGGAGGTCAACCTTAGCTGTTGTTAGGTAGAATCTAAGATATCATTTAAGTAGAATTTCATAAATCCACCAAATCCGAAATTACGAAATCCTTAGGGGTTATAACCTTCATGATAAATCCTATGTGACTATTTGGCTATTCCATTTAGGATTTAATAAGGTTGAAAGATTTGTGTGGAGTTTCTTCCTTCCCGCGCCAGTAAAGCCTGAGAATTTAAAAAATCCGCCGAACGAGAGGATTTTTGAAATATAGGATTTACGACAAAAAGGCGAAATTTTTCATCTACCAAGGCTTTGATTTTCCGTGAGATTTGGTTTTGCATTTTAGGCCGTTTGGTTGGATTTCAAGATATCTAAAACGTGTACCTTGGTGTATGCTTTTTGTTGATGATATTCTTCTTGTTGATAAGACTAGAGAGGGAGTTGAAGGTAAACTTGAATTATGGAGGTCAACCTTAGAGTCTAAAGGTTTTTGCTTGAGTTGATCTAAAACGGAATATATCCAAGGCTTTGATTTTTTGTGAGATTTGGTTTTGCATTTTAGGCCATTTGGCTGGATTTCACATGTACACTTGTTCAAAAGTAAAGCACGTACACTTGTTCAGGGTGCATATATTCTAATAATTGATTTCACAACTATATAAGAAAACTTTTACTTCAACGTCCAAATGACTTTCCAAGAAGAGATATATTGGATATATAACATATTGTTACCGGGTTGAAGAGGATTGACAGGTGAATTTATATAGAGAGTTAAAACTTTCAATTAAGTTACATCTCAAATGTCTTCCTTTAAGTTCGATAGAATGTTTAAATGTCCATGTTGGAAGCAAAAAAATTAATCATTTCTCAAGCTCGATGATGTGAAAGTTGATTTATATCTTAGGGGATTTATTCCAGACTACTGGATTTGGACCTCCCATGATGAGTACGAGCTACACAGAGATACTCATGTCGGTCCATCTACAGCTTTTGAAACATTTGATGAATATCTAATGATTAGAGCATATAAAAAACTTATTTTTTATGTAACAGGTCCTAGTTTAAAGGCTAGTGTGGAAGAGCCACCAAATGCAGAAACAAAAAAATTCTTTACGTTAGTATATGCAACTCAAAAATCAATTTGGGATGGTTGCAAAACTCGTTCAGAATTATCGATTACAGTGAAGATGCTAAGTATTAAAACTGAATATAATATTTATAGTGATTATTTTAATGACTTCATTGATCTTCTCAAGAAAACTAATCCAACGGATAATTTAATTCCCTCAGATTTGTATCGAACGAAGAAATTAGTATCCAAATTGGATTTCACCGCGACAGAAATTGATTGTTGTATTATTGGATGTATGTTATACTACAAAGATGATGCAATAAAAGTTTATTGTTGTACCTGCAATACATCTCTATTTAAGCTAAACTCGGGAAAATAATGTCATCCAAAGTAAGATGTTTTATATTCCCACTTATTTTATTTATCAATTATTCCAAGACTTCAGCGGCTCTATGCATCATTGAGTTCAGTAGGTCATATGAGATAGCATAAGGAGAAATTAGTAAACAGTGGTGTTCTTTCTCATCCATCAAATGTGTTGCAAACTATTTTCATGACTTATGTTTTGATGATTGACAAACACTATCTCTCTTGGACTACTTGTTGCTTCTAACTTTTCAGGAATCGAAGATCGGACGATCAAGAGGAAGCCAAGTCCAGGATCGCGTAGGTTTAGGGTTGAGTCAGTCTGTAATTTTATTTTTCACCTTTTGAGTCTACTTGTAAGAATCAAAAAGACTGATGCTAAGTAACCCGTTACACACACACTTGAGAGGCTTAGAAATTCTGTTTTTGCCCACATCGGCCCGGCCGATATTTATATCGTCCGGGACGATCAGCTTAAAACAGAAAGTCTAATTAAGAATTCTTAATTAAGGCAGCCGACATTAACATATCGGCCTGGACGATACGTGTATCGGCCAGGACGATAAGCTCAAAATAGAAAGAGATAGCCGCCTTAGACAGTTTAGGCATACTGAATTTTAAATTATCGGCCAGGCCGATTCCAGGACCGGCCTGGACGAAATTACCAAATTATGCCTTAATTAATCAGGAAATCAAGGGAGTAATTAAGGATGATTGATACGATCATATCGTCCAGAACGATCGTGAGAACGGCCTGGACGATCAAGACCCGGTTAGGAGAGTAGAGGTATTAGATTTGACCTATGTTAAGAAAGGTAGGGGTAGACCTAAAAAGACTTAGTTAGAAAATATTAGGAATGACCTTTCTTTATTAGATTTAAATGAGAATTTGACTTTTAATAGGACACAATGGAGAAAAAAGATTCATGTAGCCAACCCCACGTAGTGGGATAAAGGCTTGTTGTTGTTGTTATTGTTGTTGGCTGGATTTCATACGTACACTTGTTCGAAAGTAAAGCACGTACACTTGTTTAGTGTGCATATCTTCTAATATTTAATTTCACAACTATATAAAGAAACATTTATTTTAACGTCCAAATGATTATCGAAGAAGAGAGATATTGGATGTATAACAGATTGTTATCGAGTCAAAGAGGATTGACAGGTGAATTTATATAGAGAGTTAAAACTTTCATTCAAGTTACATTGCAACTGTCTTCCTTTAAGTTCGATGGAATGTTTAAATATCCATATTGGAAGCACAAAAATCAAGCATTCCTCAAGCTCGATGATGTGAAAGTTGATTTATATCTTAGGGGATTTATTCCAGACTACTAGATTTGAACCTCTCATGGCGAGTACGAGCTACACAGAGATACTCATGTTGATCCATCCATGGCTTTTGAAACATTTGATGAAGATCAAATGACTAGACTATATAAAAAACTTATTTTTAATCTAATAGGACCTAGTTTAAAGGCTTG